ACGAAACTTCGTTCCAACTGTTTAGGAACACTATTACTCAGTGGTACAAAAACAGTCGTCCGATCCGTCGCATCCCTAAGAACCGACAAAAAATTCATGTGTGGGGTGCATTTAGTCTGGTAAGACTAGCATTTATTGTTTTGTAGGAAAAATGGATGCCACGTTCTACGTCGAAATCTTAAAAAACCAACTTCCGGAAATTAAAAAAATGATGGGTGACGATTGGCGGCTTCAGCAGGATAACGATCCTAAGCATACAAGCCACCTAGCCAAAGATTTTCTCAATAAAACGGTCCCGTGCCTTATCAATTGGCCGTCGAACAGCCCGGACCTTAACCCCATCGAAAATTTATGGGGAATCATTAAAAAAAACGTAAAAAAAAAAAAACCAAAAAATTTAGATGAGTTACAAAAGTTTATGGTCGAAGAATAGGGGAAAGTTCCAAAGAATACCTATAAAAATTTAATCAACTCGATGCAAGAGAGATGTAGGGCGGTAATTGATGCAAATGGCAAAAGAATTAACTATTAACAATACCTGTCATTTAATTTCGTGATTTTAATAAATCAAATAAATCGTATTACGTTGTTATTAAATTATTGGCTGTTGTGCAAATGATCATCAAAAAATTTTTAAAACTTTATGGTACCACTGTATATTAAATATATTAATTAAATATAATCTTTTAATATAATAATTAGCTATAATCTAAAAAAAAAGTTAGACAACTAATTTAATAATATTATAGATCAAAAAAATAGTTAAATAAATGTTTGATTTAATTTTGATCAATCAGAAATCAAAATATTTATTGTTCTAAAAACATACTATAGTAAGAGTCTTAGCATGTTATTTTTTTTTTGATTAACTCCTCAGTATCTTGATTAGCTATATTTGTTTTATTTGATTATATATTATAACTGATATTGATAATGTATTATGCTGTTTTCATACATCTCGATTTTTGATCAGATAGCATTAAAATATTCCAATCTCTAATTTATATTTGTTTCATTATTTCATTATTAATTAACATTTTATCCTCTTTTCTTACATTTCATTATATTTCTGTTAGGTAGTTTCATCAGCTTATTGAAGTAAGTATATGATGGGATTCACATTAACTGGTTGCAGTTTTTCCTTATTTGTTATGATATAATTTTGTTTCTTTATCACTATTTGCTTCATTAGCTTATCTATTTTATTCACCATTTTATTTGTCTTCTTCAAATTTTTATCAAAAGGCTTGAATAGTTTATCTCTTGAGAAAAAGTATTTATCATCCAGTTATAATCTCTCTTTGTTTATTTCTTTTAACATATTAATATTCTGTTTCTTCATTTTTGTTAATTAATAATTCAGATTGTTATGTATTCTCCGGAAAAGTTAAATATATTTTAAGGTTTTGTTTGTTATTTTGATCAAAGTTTCTAATTAATTAGTATACTTATAGAATATATTTTATTAGAAAAGGGTAAATAAATGAATGTTGTTTTTTATTTATATTTTTATAGTTTATTACCAAATATTATATCTAATTCTGGTAAGTTTTTCATCAATATATAGATTCTTACATAGTGTTGATTGAATTGGCAATATAAAGGCTTTAATTTCTAAGGTGTATATTAATTTGACCAGTTCTTTTGTTACTTGCTAACTTTACATCTTTTGATTTTTTTCTTGAACCTTGTTTAGTTACTAGAACTTTCCAATTCTTTGAGTCAAACCCTAATTTGTCCAAGTCCTATGTTTCCATATACAAGTTACAAATATGCACATAATTGACAAACAATATAATAATACAGGTAAAAGTTTACAATAAATGCTTTATTAATAAATCATAAATATTAATACTGTACAATTTTCTATTATTAAATACTAGTGGATGACATATATATTTATATATATACCAGTTGTTTATTTGTTTATATTCTATTAATATTTTACTTTTTTTTAGAATTTAATTTTACAATATTTTTATACCTATTACTTTATTATTACAATAATAATATTAACTAAAAAAAAGTTAATTTATTATAATTTTAATTGACTTTATTTTGACTTAATGATTTTGAAGAGCTGGAATCATACTGTTTATTGTTGCAACTTAAATGAAATAGTTGAATAGAATTGAGCCATTTATTTATCACTATTTGGCATGTCAAATTATTATCATTTTTTAAATTTTTATAATTAAATTTAAGTCAAATTTATATTATTTGATGCTACTTGGCATGAAATCAAATATAAATATTTGTTAAACATTTGTAAATAGTTCAACTATAACATTATAGCATTTGGCAATATAAATACAAATATTTAATAGATAACTTAGCCATAAATTAACATATTTTATGTTTAAAAATTTGATGAATTTTCATATATATATATTAACAATTAATTTTATTATTTAAAAAATAAAAATAATTAATAAAATCTGACAATTATTTATAATTATAATTAACAAAAAGTTTATTAAAATATGATAATAAAATAATATAATTTGAATATAACAAAAAAATTGTTCATATAAATTAAGTTATTTATTATCTTCTATTTTTTCTTTTTCTTCTTTCACTTCTTTTTTTTTCTTTTAATTGATCTTATTCTAGGTGATCTTCTTTGTGTCTTTTTTTTTCCTTTTTTTCAATTGTTTTTTTTTGCCAATTTTTATATATTTTACTGATTTTACCTTAGCAACTTGCCTCTCTGATCTTATCCATTAATATATTTTCTTCAGTTTGATACTTCTCCAAATATATTGATAATTCTTTGATAACCTTTCATTTTTTATGTTTTTTTATTGATTCTTCAGCTTCTCTTTCTGAATAATAAGCCTAATTTGGCAAATCTTTGGGTAATGTTACATTATAATAAGTTATAGTCTCATAAGTTCTCTTACGAGTTATTTTTGTATATTGAATTTCCATTAAATATTTGTTTAAAACTCCTCTTAACAAGTTAGTTAACTATATAATAAATAAATATTCAGTATATAAATATTTGGCAAACAAATATTTAACTTTAATAATATTTAAATATTTAATGAGAATGCTAACTATAATTATATATATAGTCAGACCTTTCTAAATGCAAATTGTTGGGACCAGCTTTATAACTTGCATTTAGAGAAAATTGCAATTAAAGAACAAATAATAAATTATAGTATAAATATAAATATATTAATAATGAAATTTTATTTTTATTTAATTAATTTAAAAAATTTAATTATATAATTAATCAGTTGATTTAAAAAAACCTTCAATATTTGTTTGTTTAAAAGAAATATTTCGAAATTTTCTTATCGTTTTTTGTAATTTCAATAAAGTTTCATCATATTTTAACAAATCTGTATAACTAAGGTCTTGTTGTATTAGATATTGTTCTATTAATTCAATAGCATTTAATGCTTCTTAATAAGTAATTTGACGCATTTCTATATTTTCATTTTCTTCTTCTTCACTTTCATTATTTTCAAGTTCTTGATTAACGGTAATATTTAAAATTTCTTGATTATTTAGTGTTTCAAAAGTATTTTTTTCTTCTGGATAATCGACATATTCTTCAAGATTCATCATATTTCGAAAGCAAAGTGCTTCAACATCTTCATATAATTCTTTCATCAAGCTATCATTGTTATTAATATCAGATAAGTTATCATCTTGATTATCTTGAATAATTTTTGTATGCTTAAAACAATTATATATTGTCTCCGATGATACCTCTCTCTATGCTTGAGTAATAAATTTTATTGCGGTAAGAATACTCATTTTTTCGTTTTTTCCAGATTCATATTAATTAAGTAACCATTTTATAAAATAGCTTCAATAATAACACTTAAAAGACATAATAACACCGGTGTCCATTGGCTGAATTCGTGATGTTATATTTGGAGGAAGATAATAAATAGTTGTGTTACAAAGATTTAAATTAAGAAATGAATGACATCTTGCATTATCAATTAAAAGAATTGTTTTGTGACCAGCCATTTTTAAATCAAATTCTTTGAGCCATTTTTGAAATAATATAGTTGTCATCCATGCTTTGCTACTCGCCTCATATATAACACCAAGCCCATTATGATTAATTTTTTTAAAACAACATGGATTTGAAAATTTTCCAATTACAAATGGTTGTATTTTGTCGGTTCTATCAGTATTTGTACAAAGTGTTAAAGTTAATCGTTCTTTATCTTTTTTTTTTCCTTTAAGACGAATAGTTACAAGTGTAATATCTGGTTCAAGACTAAAAAAATGTTAATAAAGATAAATATTAATTAACATAAATATGGTCCAGCACAAAAAAGTTGATACACCAATATGCTTATAGTAGAAAATTTTTTTTTTGAAATTCATTGACATATTTAAATAAATTGACTTATAAATTAGGTTTTAAGGAATATATCAGTAGAAATTTATTAAAATATATACACAAACAAAAAGTTTTACTAGTCATCAATCTCTTCAACTTCGAGATCTTTAAGATCTTCACTATCACTTTTGACCAATAATATATCATCATTTAAATTTTCATATTCTTTGGCCCTATCAAGCGATCTTTTTCAAAACCTGAAAATTACCTTATTCATAACCTTTTCGTTAAATGCGTACAATAATTTGTTTCTAATAGCAAGAAGATTAGGATATAGACCAGTTTTAGCAACTTCACCTTTTACGATTGACCAAATTCCCTCAATTGGTTGAAGCTTGCAATGATAAGATAGAATATAAAACAAGTTGTGGTCATACTTTTTAGCTATTTAAACGCATGCAAAAGGTACTTTACTTTTATTTAATTTGACTAACTCATAGAGTTCTGCTTTGCTAGCATTTTCAGGTATATTAATACCAGCCGAGGATAGCCATGTGATCATCATATCCTTTTTCGAGTTTGACATTGGCACTTGTTCGCTTTGGCATTTATGATAGCAAGCACCATCCATATGGATATCAACCGATCCGTAGTATTCCTTAATATTAGAACAAAGTTTATTAAAAAGATCTACAAATATATCGGCTGTAAAATTACCATGATAGTTATTATGGTTCGCCACTATATTGAAATTTCGAACAATGTCGGGAACATTATCCCAGGCATCAGAATTTGCTTGCTTTCTCCCCCTTAATGAAGATGGTTTAATTGATGAATCCCATAGTAACAATAAATTGGGAATGATTTCACCAAAAAGTTTGTTAAAGTTACCGTTACGCATTACCACTATTGCACCAAAAATCATGATTAACGGATCGCGCCCAGGTGAGTATATGACTCCATGGTTGGGCACCCAAGTGCGATTTGTAGTGTGGTGCAAATGACAATATAACTTGTCCAAAAAGACCTCTGGTCTGATTGATACTTTGTTTCTCCCCTGTAGGTTTTCGAAATGACATCGTAAATAACAGTTTCGAAATACAACATTTTCAAAAGATTTGTGTAATATGTTCCATCATTCACCGTGGCCATAATAATAACCTAAAGTATGAAGTACACGAAGAAGCTGTCCTTTTGAGAGTATATAGTCATACTCTTCTAGTTTTTGTCATAATAAATGTGTTGAGAATGGAGAACCAAAAGTGTTTGCAGTTATAACAAACCTGTGTATAAGTTCAACAACATTGTGATCGGGGCTTTTCCTTAGATGCCCCTGTATTCTTCACTCTAAATGCTCCGAGAATTTTTCATTTTTACTGCTATTATATTCAGCAACCACCCGTGCAAGGGTTGCCTCGCCAATTCCGAGGACCGAAGCAACCTCCTTGTATAGTGGTAAGTCTGAACATTGCGCCTGGCACTGTCGAGTATTTAAAAAGTATTGATGAACGCGAATAATCATTTGTTTTTCGTTATTGGTTAAAGAACTTCGCTCTCTATCTAGTTCTTCCATGGAAAAAGATAAATGATCAAGTTTGTTACGAATATCTAAAGTTCGACATTTTCTTTACATTTTATTTGATTTGTATGCTCAAATGATTTGATTAGCAAATTTTGTACATGTGATGAATTTCTGGTTACAAATTTCGTGTATCAATTTTTTTGTGCCGGATCATATTATAATTAATTTATTATACCGATGAAAATAATCCAGTTTCGTCCATATTGTAAATATTTTTTAGATCATATTCTTCTAATATTTCTTGCAATTCAACAATAGCAGATGTAATAACAATATTATCTATAGAAGCATCCTCTCCATGTTTTGTTATTTGTCTTAAACCATGTCTTTTCTTGAACTTAAATAACCATCCATATAAAAATTTAAAGTCATCATCAAGTATATCTAGCATTCGAACAAAAAATTTTGCTTTTTCGATCAAAATTGCATCGCTTAATATAATTTTTTCTTGATTTTGCAAAATCCATTCTAACAATGTATTTTCAAGATTCAGATATTGACCTGTTCTATGTCTTTTTGCAAGAGGATCATTTCCAATATCTTCTTTATTTTTTATTAAATGGCTAATAATAGTTGGATGAATATCAAGTTCGTAATTCTTTTTCACCCATTCAACAAGATCAACATAGCTAATGTTTGGATGTTTTCTTTATATGCAATGATATTCTTTTTTGTTTATTATTAAGAATAGTTTTACTTTTGTATTTTTCAAAAGACATTATTATTATAACTATGATAGTTTATGAAATAAATTTATACATTTTGTTATCAAGCGAATAACAAGTTTTATCTAGTTTTTTGAACATTTTAAATAAACATCACAATCATATGCTTTCAATTATATAACATTCGATTTAACAAGTAATAATTCAGATTTGACAATATGATCTCAAAAATCTCTTCTAATTTTTCGAATAATATAGTCTTGTTAGCTTAGTCATCAACTGCATTGCCTTTTTCACATTTTTTTTTATGTTCTATGGGTTGTATTCACATTATCGTTATCAAGTTTGTTATTAAATTTTGTTCTTCTGCCTATAGTTTTTTTTTTTAGTTTAGTTCACTTAACTATTTTTCATAAATCGAAGATATACTCTTAAAAGTGACATTATCTTTATTGTTCACAATTTTTTGCAAGAATATCAGGTCGATCGTTAATGCTTTTCATATATTCAGGATTAATGTTTTTCGAAAGTTTTTTTACTTCCAACTTTAGATAAAACCAAGTTTCCATAACACCTTATATGTTTCATCTTCTCCATTAAGAATTTAAATCCTAGATAAGTTATTGACAGTTATTGGCACAAATTACCTCCAACTTTTCAACATCAATTTTTTTAATTAGTCCATCAAGAAAAAATTTTGATTATACAAGACAAATGATTCACAGAATTCTCATTTTATTGAGCTTCATCCAGAATCATATGCTTATATTTATAACCTTCAATCAATACCAACTCTTACAAAAGATTGTTTCACGAATCTCAAATTTTCTGTAGCCATCTAAACTAACCATATTAATGATTAAGTTTTTGGGACCCATATTCAAAATAGTGACTATCTCTGTTTGTATCCTCTTGCTTTAATAAAAGCCATTTCATCTATTATAAATTTGTGAGATTGATTTGTCTTTTGTCTAAAAATTTCAAACAAAAATTCATTAATAAGAAATTAATTTTCAGAATGATAAGAAGCACTTTATGATAAGAAAGGTTGTACATACGTGCTTTAGAATCCTTTTGCTAATTTTAGAAATGTAAAATATAATGATTGAATGTGTAATAGATCGAAAATAACTTGTGGGAAAAGGTGTCGATTTTGGGTGATCGGTTGTAAAGAAACTCTGTCAGCAATAACCAATATTAATGATGGATAAAATTCCTATTTTATTTAAATACATACAGTATATAATCCGCATCCCAAAAATTATAAACCAAATTTCAAAACCATTAAAAAACAAAAAAAGATATATAAATGATGTTTAATAAATGCTTTACCATGTGATGCTTGTCTTTAACACATATCTTTTTTATCTGATCCAGCTTTTGGATATCTACAAAATAAAATAATAAAATAAAGTTTAACTAAAGCTAAAATCGCTCACAAGATAGTCCATTAGCATATACCATGAGACTTCTATACTGCTTAACGTTTAAATCGGTCAAGCTGTATTGTAATAAGTACACAAATCAGCAAAGACAAATGAGTCCTACTGTTATAATCAGAATCTGCTATTTTTTTTTTTAATACTATTTGCATTGAAGAGGATTGTTTAAAAAAAAAATAAAAAGAAATCAGTTTGTTGAATAAAATATAACATAAAACTTATAACAAAAGGGGAATATTTATGAACATTAAAATTTTTTTCGAGCAAAATTTCTTTTATGATCTATTCAAGTTTTTTTTTGTTTTAAGGATTGGATTTTTGTTAGGATAAATATAAGTGCAAAAATAAATTAATATAAGTCTAACAATGTCACTGTAAACATACATGTGGTCGTATTACCATAAAAGGAAATTTGATCGACAATACGATTCCGAATTAAATACGAATTCCAATT